ACAGCACTTTGCGTCTAATAAGTAGACCAATTTCAAGCATGTGCTTCTAAGTACATTTACAGTACATCACGAAAACTAAGCCATACAAGGCATACAACTTTTCAACGACAGCGGCAACTCAGACACATATAGCGAGGGGGAGGTACGTGCCCCCCCCCCCGGAACTCACATCCCCTCCCCCAACCTCTCTCAAGAGGAGACTGGCTACGGCACTGGTGCTTGGGTGCACACGCGTTATTATAGCAAGGCCCTGGTTTACTATGGATTTTCAATTTGCCGTTTTGTTCGACATTCCAAGTGCCTTTTATTTTATACTAGGCTTTGGCGCTTTATATTCACACTGTTTTCTCTGTGTGGTCCGAGAGTTGCGAAAAAAATCACAAGTTTGCCAAGAATGGGATTCGAACCCATGACTTCTTACTTGTTAGTTTAGTCATCTCAACCAAGTTCCTGTAGTTAAAATTTTACCTTAGTATTTGGTTCAATTAAAATCTTATTTTCAGCTAACATTTTGGAATGTTGAATTGAATATTGAAAATTTGTTGGCCAATAAAAGCGGTACAGGAAACTTTTTACTGGAAGGCCTTGAGAATCCATGATGAACCTGTCAGCTGTTGATGCCAATTTTAATAGCAACAGTTTGGTTCAACGAATGTGGCCTCTGCTAATCAGTAGTGTTTGTCGTCAAGAAAAACAAGATCCACTCTTTGCCTGCTCTCTTTAACGTCCGGCTCCATGCCCATACCCAGATCAACATTGATGACCGACCTACATAACCAGCGTCGTGAGCCAAAGTGAACAGCGCCATCTGCTGATCAGGGATCAAGCACAGAGAGAACCAGTCCGTCTGGCATGAATGCCACCATCGACGACGAAACACGACAGCGGCTGCAACAAATCGTACCTACATGTACATGTACATGTATTTGAGTACGTGTAATCGGCCGGCAGGGCATCCTGTGGGGTACAATGATATCTGCAGGTGCGATGGGTGGTGGAAGGGGACTTCTGTTGGATCTGGGGGTCGAGCCAGCCCCTCCTAATACAGAGGCTTTTTTTAATTCATTGAAGGCTGGCGTTTTTTGGGGGGGGGTTCCTTCTCTAAGAGGGAATTTTTAACTGCGCATGTCCCATTCTAGGGTCATTTGCATACGTAATGAGGGTCATGAGAATTCGTGCCAGGCAAACAGCTGTATCATTTCATGAAATTTACGTCTTATTTTCACTCTTTGGAAATAAAAATATCTAACCAAAAATATTTTCATGGTATAGATTAGGCCTTTTCCTAACGTGTTTTGTTAAAATAAAACTAAGAAATATTATTAGAGTGTGTGAAACTCTTTACGTGAGCGGTAATTTGTTTACGTTTTGATGCGATTTTTGAAGGCTCTGGGTGCGCATGGACATCACCATCAACAAAATTCATCATCGTCCTCTTACTGTGGGAAAAACTTCAGCCCCTAATTCAGTCATGAGTTATTTCAGTCACCGAACCAAGACTTGATACAACGATACAAAAATGTGAGCTTTTTTTTATTATTCGATTCATACGAAGACGCTCGCCAAAAAAGGACCAATGACAATGTGGTTGCANCTCCCACCCCTCCCCCCAACCTCTCTCAAGAGGAGACTGGCTACGGCACTGGTGCTTGGGTGCACATGCGTTATTATAGAAAGGCCCTGGTTTACTATGGATTTTCAATTTGCCGTTTTGTTCAACATTCCAAGTGCCTTTTATTTTGTAGTTGGCTTTGGCGCTTTATATTCACACTGTTTTCTCTGTGTGGTCCGAGAGTTGCGAAAAAAATCACAAGTTTGCCAAGAATGGGATTCGAACCCATGACTTCTTACTTGTTAGTTTAGTCATCTCAACCAAGTTCCTGTAGTTAGAATTTTACCTTAGTATTTGGTTTAATTAAAATCTTATTTTCAGCTAACATTTTGGAATATTGAATTGAATATTGAAAATTTGTTGGCCAATAAAAGCGGTACAGGAAACTTTTTACTGGAAGGCCTTGAGAATCCATGATGAACCTGTCAGCTGTTGATGCCAATTTTAATAGCAACAGTTTGGTTCAACGAATGTGGCCTCTGCTAATCAGTAGTGTTTGTCGTCAAGAAAAACAAGATCCACTCTTTGCCTGCTCACTGATGACCGACCTACATAACCAGCGTCGTGAGCCAAAGTGAACAGCGCCATCTGCTGATCAGGGATCAAGCACAGAGAGAACCAGTCCGTCTGGCATGAATGCCACCATCGACGACGAAACACGGCAGCGGCGGCAACAAATCGTACATACATGTATTTTGAGTACGTGTAATCGGCCGGCAGAGCATCCTGTGGGGTACAATGATATCTGCAGGTGCGATGGGTGGTGAAAGGGGACTTCTGTTGGATCTGGGGGTCGAGCCAGCCCCTCCTAATACAGAGGCTTTTTTTATTCATTGAAGGCTGGCGTTTTTTTTGGGGGGGGGTTCCTTCTCTAAGAGGGAATTTTTAACTGCGCATGTCCCATTCTAGGGTCATTTGCATACGTAATGAGGGTCATGAGAATTCGTGCCAGGCAAACAGCTGTATCGTTTCATGAAATTTACGTCTTATTTTCACTCTTTGGAAATAAAAATATCTAACCAAAAATATTTTCATGGTATAGATTAGGCCTTTTCCTAACGTGTTTTGTTAAAATAAAACTAAGAAATATTATTAGAGTGTGTGGAACTCTATACGTGAGTGGTAATTTATTTACGTTTTGATGCGATTTTTGAAGGCTCTGGGTGCGCATGGACATCACCATCAACAAATTTCATCATTATCCTCTTACTGTGGGAAAAACTTCAGCCCCTAATTCAGTCACCGAACCAAGACTTGATACAACGATACAAAAATGTGAGCTTTTTTTATTATTCGATTCATACGAAGACGCTCGCCAAAAAAGGACCAATGACAATGTGGTTGCGTATTCAAAGCAATTCCTGCACAAGCGACTGTTTATTGCTCCAATTTATAAGTAGAAAAATATTTTCCACCAGAAGTATGTACACATACGTGCGCTCTCTATCAAAACATACAGGTAGACATGCATACACAGTGATTTTGTTGCTATATTCACGATTACCGTCTAAGGCATAGTGGCCAGGTTAGCTCTGCACACTGCCGTTAATGGATTTTTCTCCCTCGTTAATTGGGTTCTCTTTCTCTGAGCCAAACATTTTATTGCCGCCATTGCATCGATCCTTCACGGACTACACGGATTCTGACCTTTTCAACAATTCTATTTTAAGCCACCGGTCGGCATGGCAACCGCATCAGCGATGCACTGGTTCCCGCGCCTTATTGCACGAAATGCGGGAAAGAGAAATATATCTCTGAACAGGGCAGAATGCCCTTTTTTGCCATGGCATACAGCTTGTGATGTTATCGACACAGATGAGTGAACAAACCAGACCGGTGTTAAGGGTACTGAAATCGGCACTGTGACAAGTTTGCATAGGTAATTACAAGGCTAGACCATGCAAGTGTGCAGAATACCAAATGTCTTTGCTTTAAAAACTGTGAGAAGTCGCATACATGTATTTATAACAAAAGTCAGCATGTGGAGTGAAGGCGATTTCTTTTTACCTGCAAAACCAAATTTTCACTACACCCTCAGCTAATTTTCAGGAGTAAACGTGCAAGAATAGTGCCCTTTCTAGAGATATATTTCTCGTTCCCATATATAAAGTAGTTTTGCTATTACAGTAATTTTTATCTCGGAATACTTTTTACGTGGACACCCTGTACATGTACACATGTACACGTACATGTATAAACATGTATTCCATAATAGTCTGTTTGCCGTTTTCTTATTGATAACAATGGTACTGAATAAACGGCCTACGGCATTATAAGTACACACTGCAATTGATCCTCCCAGGCAGTGACAATGAATGATTAACAGGGGAGCCTTGAACTAAAACAGGTATGCAACCTGGTAGTAACTGCAATAGACTGTCTTCATGTGCCCGCCATCTTGAGTTGAAAGCGAGGCGAACCTTTTTCATTTAGGGAACCTGGGAGTAGATATAACAGCGACAAAATGAAATTTCAATACATTTCATTCCATTTTGATAAGATCGATTTAACACTTGTGATGAATTATATCTAAATTGTGAAGCCACACTCTAACAACTGAGAGTGAGGTCTGGAATACAAAACAGTCCGGCACCATCCATTTCAACAGATTAGATTGAATAAGATAGATTCAGGGAACATGATAAAACATGGCTTCCCCCTGAATAAGGTCTGCTAACCGATTCCAACATACTGCTGTTTCAAATTTAAGAATACGATTTCTTCTTTACCTGTTAGTGCTTTACCGCGGTATATGCAATACTCTGATGACAGCAATCACAGTGAAGATTGACATACGAGAAATATAAATATCCCATTTTTTTCAGCATGAATGTTTTCTATAAATACACGTTAAAATCACATTGTGACAAATTATACATGCATTTGAACTACCGGTACTTTTCGTCTGTTAGAAAGCCCCCTTTTGGAGTAGAAAATCTGCGGTCCTGTCAAGCAGCATAAAGATCAAACTTAGTTGGTTCTGCTGAAAACGAATTTCCGAAAATGTATCTAAACTAAAACGTACCACTTGTTTTTCACATTGTAATAAAAACATTCATGTTTAATTTAAATGAATTGACGTACAAATCTAACTCAAGAAGCTTATGCCACCCCTGAGTTTGCGTATCCTCACCAGTGAAAAAAGAAAATCAGCAGAGAAAAGAAACCTGTTGGCTAGAGAATGCCACGCAAACAAGTCATCTTGTATTACAGCGCGCCGCCTGAGCTAACCGAACAATGAATAGATTAAGGCGCACCCATTCTGGGTAAATATTTAGCGCTCAATTCTTTTCCCTGCCAGACCCTGCAGACACTCCCGAATAGACCAGCGAACATGCTTTGCTGCAACAGCTGCTAAACAAAAAATCAACTGGTGAAGGCCAACTGGTTTTTTTTTTTACATCATGCATGTACAGTGTATATACAAAATGAAAAGGGGCAGGATTCGTTTGTGTCTGCGGCCATAACTTTTTTTTTCGTTCTTCCCATACCTGGCAATTAACCATTTCAGCATTTCTTTACAAATGTCAGAAAATGAGTACCTGTACAAATAAACACAATGTAGAGCTGTCAAATGCTATCGTGAGAGTATGATATCAAACATAGCATTGTTGAGAGAGACCTCATTGAGGAGATGAAACTATTTGAACACTTTCGAGTTTCGGAGGTTGCACGAGGGATCTTTATTTCTTGGGTTGTGGCAAAAATGATTTCAATTTCAGAGGCAGTGCTTGCAAGCCGATGGGTAGGCTGATTTTAACGCCCCTGATAATGATTTTCTTTACAATTAACACTTCAACAGGCTACTACATCCACGCAAGTAGTCAGTATAAATTTGGCAACTTATACAAAGTAAGAACGAATCGCATATTTTTTTTCAAATCTTGAAGTACACAAATTAATGCCTACCCCATACGCATTCTTATATGAAATTAATTTCATAACTTCCATTTTAGCATACAGTCAAAATAAACTGAAATTATGCAGCCAAAATACACGCACTAGATTAACCTAAACCAAAATCAAAAATGTAAAGATATAGGGGGCCCTACACCATGCCGTCGTCAAATTTGTTTCCTTTACGAATGTGCCAATGAGAACACCGATGCACGTGGGTAAATACTGTACTACAGAAGTCTTGCACTGCTCGATCATTGTGTACTCTGATGCACTTGAGGTGCTCCTCCAGATACACACTGCAGGCACAGAAAGGCAACGGCAATTTGTCTAATTGGATGCATGAGAGGCAGTTCTACTTTATAAATCTAACAGCTGCTGTGTGGTCTGCGTGTACAAACTACGACAATAATACGTGTATTTTTCGGGTATGTTTTCCCTGAAAGAGTGCCCTCCGTGTTGTGCTGAAGACAGATCTACCTATCCCCTAAACTCGGTTCTGAATTCCCAGCACCGATATTTCACTCAATCAGTTTTCCGCCCACTTTCACAAATATATGTATTTTCATTTGTGGCAAGTTAAACGAAAGTTTTGGAGCCGTACGTCGAGGCAACTTTCACCGGTCAAAATCCCACTTTCACTGCATTTCAAATGCACCCTAATTTGCCACAAAGCATAGGGCCTAATAGCCACACAGCTTATCATCGTGAGTTAAGTAAGTACCTCAATAAAAAGCCATGTTCCATGACTGTCATTTAAGAGCATGTCACCCCAATTCCTGCTGGCGTTCAGGATCCAAACTCACTGTAAATGAAAATCCCTCCAACATGTAAAACACCGTATACATTGTACATATAACTTGTCATCACACGCACGCGTTCCCTTCAATAATACCTTTCGTAAAAAACCTCGGCCTCGTGTGTCGACGCTGGTTTATGGTCAGCCCCTTGTACACGTACACAAACGCTTAACGATGATACAAATTAACAGTCCGCCAAGTACACGCAATAACAAACAACAGTGGTCCTTTGCCCTTCCGTGTTTTCAGACAGTCACACGACGTTGAACACTCAGAATAACGCCAATCAGACTGCGAATAGGGACCAACATAAACATGTCGCCGAGTCTGAGCGGAGTTCTTGACCAACACAACAAACTACGGTATAAGCAAGGGTAGCAAATTACACTCAGCGGCGAGAATAACAACGAAAAAAGATGGAAACTACGAAAAAGGATTTCAAGGTGAAAACATGCCAACGTGTTTTTCCTCTTCCTCGGAACGTAAATTCGTCATCCCCTATTTCACTCTGAATTCAGAAATATCACTGATTTTACATTCACGAGTAAGAACTATCCTTTTCGTCGCGTTCTGAGAAATATCGATAAACCTCCAACTGAGAGCAAGCTTTGGAAACTTTCAAATTCGTTCCTTGTGTCTATAGCCCGTGTAAAGAGAGCATAATATACATGAAAAAAGACCCTAGTTTAACAACATTCATACCGCAGGCCAAAGCATCACCGGTATAGCAACCATATGGCTCAGAATACCTTTGAAAAAATCTATGAAAATCAATAACTTCAATTTACCTATGCATATTTGCAAAGACGCGATTATCACATGGGTTGATGTTAGGGTTCATCGCCGTGAGTGTCCAACAGAGAGCAGGTTATTCCGTGTATGTGAGGCACCATTTTCGATTAAATTTGAACTAGCTTTTGCTCACAAGAAAAAGATTGGGTATCTCAGGTTTACAACATAAAAGCGAACTGTTGCCAATCAACTGACGCAAGGAAACAAAATACCTCGTTTGCTAAACTGTCTGCATATCAATGATAATTTTCTACTTTGAACAACCCGCAAATATTTAGTCTGGTTCCGCCACTGTTTGCAGAAAAACTCGTCTTGAAAATAACTGTTCTTAACTACACACACGTTCCACAGGAGGTTATAAAAAAAATTAAATACATCCAACGGTCCGAATTAGCATGAGAATGAAAAATTAATGGGGGCAATATTTACATATCGAAAACAGGTGTGCGGATAGCGAATGAATTCAGTTGTGTGATAGGAACTTATGTTATGTTTACATTAAATTAAGACCCAGAAGTCTTAACTAGCATCACCAAAGAAAAAAATCGAAAACTTGTTTCTCTTCTTATGTAAATTACTACATGTAGTTTTAAAAATGAACTGATTTTGAAATGTTGGCCCATTTTCTTACATTATTTAGGGCGACATAAAACCAACTGTGCATGTTTTTGTTTTTTCCTTCTCTTTTGAGTCCTCACATAATAATTACGAGAATACATATGCCGGTGCAAAACCGAACAATGACGAGGAAAAAGTGAAACGGACACAAAACTAGACCCCCCCCTTGTGTGAAGAGAGCGAGATTCGTTCCTCGTGTTCCTTCTAGGTTTTATCTTGGCAAGAACATCACCACCAGATCCCCACCAATCATTTCTTTATGAATCGACCATCTCACCCGGCATCAAATAGCCTTCTTTTCCATGTCGCCCCCCCCCAAGCGACGGTAAAGTGAACAGGGTAGCTTATGTTTTTGATGGTAGCAGTCTATAATATATTGTGGAAAGATTAGATGTGATGTACCATTCCATGTACAACCACGTGGATCCTCAGCCGATTTGTTTTTCGTACACTTTAAGAAAATGAACCTTTTTAGTGGTCATACAGCTAAGAAATTATTATAACCAAACGTTTTCTACGTCATGTAAGAAGGGGTGGTTATTATTTCGTCAAAAACCAGAACAACTTGTTCATTGTTAAACTGATGGGCTCTAGATCCTCGGTATTTCAAAATCTCGAGAGTTTAATGGTAACCTGTTTCTATTCCACATGAAACTTTAAAAAAAAAGCCTCTTAAAATATACCACGAACGTCTAAAAACGAGACTCGCACATAGTACAAACATTAGAATTTTTGACATAAGCAACAAAATTAAGTTTCCGTTACTCACGACACATTATAAGTCACCTGTTTTAAAAACGTAGGATAGGAGTGGGTAGGATTTCTATTTATGATTGCCTGGTTTTGCTTAAGTACCAGCATATCTTACACAACTGTGGCATGAGCTTCATTGTACACTTCGTTACTCTTCAATGCCAAATTACAAAGTAATGCGTAATGCTCGTTGTATAATGCCTTGCCATCCAACTGCTTCGTGGGATCGTTTGCTCGAGTGATCCTAAGTTGATTTTGTTTACTTGTTTGCTTTTACAGAGAATTCACCCTCAATAAAATAATTACCCATCCTCAAATGATCTCAGCATCGTCCGCAAACCTCACCGATTTTCTCTTGTTAGATTTGTCGGTGAGGTTCTCTTGAACCTGCTGGTTTTCCTTCGAGTCCGCAGCTTTCTTGCCGTCCATTTTTCTCTCTTTGGGACTCTGCTTTGGGCTCGAGCTCGGACTTTGCTCCTTGACCGTAGACAGCTGCGACTCTCGAAGTAATGTGCTGGGCGAGTCGGACTTCCTGGTGTTGAATCCAACCACCGAAGTCTGCGTGGTTTTGCCGCCCCGGCTCTTAGCGGGTAGCACAGGGCTCTGGTGACCGAAGGATGAAGCAGATCGGCTGGACCTCTCCAAGGCGGGACTGTCGCTGCCCTTCATCGGGTAATCGGCCGCTTCGGACCGGGCTGATTTCTCGTCCTCCCGCTTAGCTATGAGTCTGGCAATTTCCGAATTGTTGTTGGCCTCGGTGATACTCGACTGGTGCTGCTCTCCGTGCTCCACGTTCATCCGGATCTTGAGGGTCGAGACGGCCTCTTGCCGGCCACGTGACCGGGGGAGGTTGAGAGACTGCGACCTGAGCAGTCCCTTCTCCCGAGACTGCTGTTGGTTGGATCGCACCGTGGCGTAGTCGTAACTTTTCCGGTAAGCCAGCTGAGTCTCGGGTTCTCCCACGCTGTTGAACATCTCCACCAACTGAAGAGTCAGCGTTTTGGCAGCGGTGGCGGAGTCGCACAGAAACGCATGACACTCATTCTGCTCCTCGGAGTTTTCACTGACGTTCCTCTTCATGATGAAAAAGACTTTCGGGCGAGCAGGGTCCGTTGCCCCAAAGAACATCTTGACTGCCTCCAGGAGGATGCAGTTGTCCGAGGATTCGGAGGGATCTGAGGGGGGAGAAAACCCTTTGATTTTGTTGATCACCAGACCGTTCACGATCACTTCCACGGTGACGCGTTGCGCCTGTTCCTTACCCTCCTTGTAATTCCGGTAGAGCGTGTCCAGTGCCACGGATGCATCGTCCAAGCCAGTGGTCTCAGCCACGGGATGACGCCCCAGGTAAAGGACGGGCATCCTGTCGTTGGACGACGGGGCGAAAGATCCCCGGCTTCGTCTCTTCCAGAACGCCATGTTTGACGGGGACACGACGAACGAACAAGCCCTCCGCCGTGTTCCACTTCAGCGCGTGGTGGCCATAGGGGATCGTAATGAGTATTGATGAAATAATCCAACGTGCATGGCAAACAGCTACCACGGGGTTCCTTCCACTAACACGTCTGCTTGACTACGGTGGCACAGCGCAGGCGCGGGCTACAGTACAATGTATTTATGTATTCATGCGTTGTCATTGTGATGGTACAGCCATAAGGGCATGGCAAGGCCGGTACAAAACGACTGCCGGGCAATGTGTAACCAACAAGAGCCAGCCTGCTACGCAGAAAGTGTCCTATCATGAAAGCACACATGCAAAGTAAACGTACTCGTCAGGAGCCTTTTGTTGTCCCCCAACAATGGGACACAAAGCGGAGTAGGCAGTCCCCCTCGTGAAAAGTTAACCCGGCGTTGGGTGTGTTGGCGTCAGTCGATTCAGTAGACAAGCACACGGCGCTATTGTGGGTGAGCGCACACTGCGATAAGGGGCGTTCAACAACTTTCCCGTCAGAGGCACAATTTTCCTTTTTTCCCTCTTGATGCGTGAACAAATTGTAACAAATAGTCACCCGACGACACAACGTTTATCCACACCCATGTACAAAATGCAGTGAACAGATTATCACAAAGTTGGTCTTAAATTAACGGCCATGTGTTGCCACCCGTCTGTTCCGCATGTCCAGCGGTGCTAAAGCGACGTTGGCCCTGTGCCGTGACAGTGTCGACCATCATGTCAAGATTATGTCAAACCGACTTCTCGGAAATCATCCATTCATCTGCACTCAAAGTGACAATTCAATTAGGCATACAAACTGAGCGGAGTATTACAGCGTTGCGACCCTATTACCATCATAGATAGGTCCCCTTTTTTCAAAACTTGTTAATTAAAAGGCTGCCCATCCATGTGTAATCCCACAAGGAAAGGCAACCAGTAATTCACTAAGAATGCTTGTTTTAAGACTGCAACGCGGCAGATTTGCCAGATGAACAGTGAATTTTTATTCTTGCATCGTTCTGCTGGAAACTGAGATAATAAAATCGTGGTTAACGACAGGACCACAATAATGGTATACGCGTATTTGAGGAACGGAATGTGCAGCTCATGGCTGTCCTCAGTACCATTTTGCATGGTTGTTTTATGCAAAACACCGAATAAGCAAGGTGCATTCAGCATGATTGTGGTCGTGTGTACATAAGGAATTTTCCTAATTAAGCTAACTGTTCAAAACTCTGATCCCACCACCCACCGCATACGCTTCCCAAATCCTTTCTGATGTTCTTATGGGCATTAAAATATTAAATGCATGTTCTTAAGGAAACGTACTGCAATAGGAAATGCAAATACTCAAATTCAAATGTGACCGTTTATTTGTAAAATTTGAAAGCCCGCTTAGGTTCAATTAGACGTGAGGAGCAATTGTACTGCAATGGCAAACTGCGGACAGACTCGCATATAAATTTCACTCCATCGAAAAGACAGACACACACTGACAAATTATAGGAAAACGAAGGAAAATAGCAATGTAGTGAAGCTTACAATATGAGACAGAGGAAGGTACGTGAATAAAGTCTTCTCAGTTATATTCAATGATTGATCAACACCCAGGTGTTGAAACTCAAAACATGAGTCAAAACGTTCGGTCAAGGACTACGAACTTGGTGTGAGTCATTCTGGTTGTTTTCGGGGTGTTGCTTTAAAGGGCCCATGACCCGAAATTTACTCGAAAACTTTTTTATGTCTAACTCTTTACTTCTCTTCGATGTATGAAAAGTGTCGAGGTCCCTTTTGGGTTTATCTCACAGAAAAAGTACACTTTTGTACACAGTCATAAAATGCCCATGCCTTCTTTTCTGACTGTGAGGGCGCCGTTGCTGGAATGTCATCTCAGGATAGGAAGACATGGCCCACTGGGGGATTCTGTTCAAACTGTGAACCCAAACTTTGCCACTAGAAACAAGTTGCCCCAAATATTTTGCATTATGGCCCAATGACATGCAAAGAAGGAGTCACTGAGGAAAAGAAAAGTCAGGACTGCAAAATCTCAAATATTCTGGCCAATGTCGTAGTGAAGACTATCACAAGCGATTGAAGTGAATGCTATCACCTCTTTTTTTTCGAGAAAGATTCTGCTAGGATCCAGCAGTCAGGCCCTCCTTATTTTGTGATTTGTATTTTAGGTCACTGTTGTCAGCAAGCAGTTTGCAGCAATTTTGTATTACATACGTCCATTTTTTTATTTGCGTACGGCTTGCATTCAAAAAGAGGTAAATTTCAAGGGTATTTATACGCAACTCGAAAACTACCAGAAGTCTTTTTGGCACTCTGTATCCATCGTGCAAAAGTAAAGAAATATGAATTTCTTCTTTCAAACATTGTAAACAAATATCTGTCACTTATGTTACAGAAGTCGGGACGACCATGTTCAGTCACAGGTCACCTCCTTCCACAAGATATTAACAACATGAACAATCACAAAGGAATACTTTTGGCAGAGTTCACTTGAGTAGCTTGTAAACTGTAAGGCAAAAAAACTGTGATATTTTCCTTAAAAATTAATGTCTCAAATGCAATTTCCCTTAGCATAAGAATGAGAAGGCGCCAAAATGCCCTTAAAGTGGCAAAATGAAAATTGTAATGAGGAGTAACTGGCACATGGATTGATCATGTTTATGTCATATGGAGTGATTTAAAAAATCACACTGCACGGCCCTTTAAGGGTTGGAGCGTTTCATACTGCGCCTCCAAATACGGTGGTTTTGTACCTATCCATTGTCAAGACTTATTCAACACATGCTTTGGTGTTTTTCGGCACCTTCATTCAAGGTTCCCCGTGGCTTTATCCTTACATTTAGTGTGACGTAGCGTCTCGGCCAAGACAATGAACTAAACCACGGGAAGAATGAGCCCCTCTTCGACTGGAAACATTCTAGCCGGTACATGTACACGTTTCGGGTAATTTCTATCTGAACCATTCGGAGTGTAACTTTGGAGGGGCATTTTGAAAGCCGCTAAACTGGAATGGTGTATTTCAAAGCAAACGCTTGTACTTCCGCGTGGATGGAAATTGAACAATTGGACCATAAATTCTGATGGCTGTTGCAAAACATACGAAACGAAATGCTACTGTACGGTCCCACCCGTTAGTCGAAGTGGTGCGTTAAGACGGAGGAGTCAATATTGGGCCAAAGCTTATAAATTTCACGGAGAGGCCTAAAACCGGCCTGAGAAATCGTAAGCAGAGCTGCATTCAGAGACCACAGAAGCACACTGTGAGGGAGAACGCTTGTCCACGAAACTTTGCTTTGCAAGATTTGCAAGATTTGTGGAACCATTTTATTGTGGGGGGCAAACTTGTTTTTAAGGGGGACAAAATTTGGAATTTTTTAAAAGTAACCTTTTACGGCTTATCTGAGGGTTGAGACTATCTTTGAGGCCTTTATACGCTTTAATTTTTGAATGATGGAAATTAAGTTGGCAAAAAAAATCGCCCTTTTCTCAGTAACAAATAAAAAAATGACCGGGGGGGGGAGGATGCCCCTTTCCTACCCCGGATCCGCCCTTGGAAGTTTCTTGCCTTATGCAATGCAATCACTTTCAGTGTTTGCTGGCTAACGTATCAACGATGGCAACAGTTCTGTGTACACCAAGCCATACCTCGAATTGCACAGGGTTGTTTTGTATACTGTTTTCTTGTGTACGACATAAAAGCAACACATCGGGGCTCCAACAAACCGTTTAGAGAAAACCACAAATAATAAAGTAGGTGCTTTCGGCAGCCCTGAGGGTATGACAAATAGTGAAGTTGTCACACGTTACATGTTCTTTTCCACCTGTTAAACACTATGCCTATGGCGAACAGGAAAAAAGATCAAAGTTACAATCATTGCGTTCAACCGACAAAGTTACATTTTGCGCCGAAAATATGGGAAGTATTTGTGTGCGTCTCCTTGCGACTGTCGAATTTTGTAGCCAAGGACAATATGACACAGAAACGGCCCACAGACGACATGTCCTGAAATAATCTTTACTGAGTAATGCACCTCGTTATCTTGGGATAATCCCGATTACCCTATTCAATGACCAATTACCCACAAGGTATATGCAAGGCTAATTGGTGAAAGTCTAGACTAACAATCGGCGACTTTTTGTGCTGGCTTTGGTGAGGGCGACAGTAAGGCCATGTGCGATTTGAAATCTTCCTTGCAGATGTCTAATAAAGTTCAAGCTCCATTGCTTCTAAGATACCACGGCCATGAAGCATTTTCCAATATAATTGTGATAACTGGTTGCAGGCGATCGTTATTTCTAAGATTTTCGCGTAACTAACGACTGAAAGTCCTTTAGGCCTGATATAATCGCCCAGACTGGCAAATTATGACGGTAATTGCACAGCAGGTAATTATTTTCCGATCGTGGGATCGGGAACAGCTTTTGTGGCCAAACTGTTGGAAAAATCTCTTTGGCACAACGGGAGTGAATAGGTCCAAACAGATTTGAATGAAGTCAATCAAACGAACAGCCACAAAACACGCGTGGACAGCAAAACTAAAAGATTTGACCTTCCATACAGCTGACGGCGTATAAAAGATGAAGAATGGGGAAATATAAAATTCTGAAAAACTGCGACAAAATAAATTGTTGAATTTAATGTTTAATGCACTGGTTGCGCAGATTGAGCTGATTTAAGAGACGAAAAATGTGCGTCATAACAACCATCGGAAATTTGGACACTACAGGACATACAATGGGAGAGAAGTACTGTAACATTATGAAATATAGTCACAAAAATTACTAAGCTCAGGACAGTATTTAAGTCTCAAGAACTACTAGCCATATTCCGTCGAATTTTGTGAGTTCACTGCTGTGAGTGGGACTTTTTACCATTAACGAGAGCTCGTGTTGATATCAATAAAGATTTGTAAGCATTTTCGCGGGTTCCACCCAATGTTCCCTGTCCCTGTCTTCCCCAGTCCCTATGTTCCCTGATATTCCCCAGTCCCTATGTTCCCTGATATTCCCCAAGTATATGCTCCCCACTCCCTGT